AAAAAAAAAAAAAATCTCAAATTAATGGTAAATAGACTTGCCTCAATATTAGTTGCTGGTAGTGTTGGTTGTGAATTTAGTGAAGAGTAACCCTAATGTGAAAATTTATTCTCGCAAATTATAACAGTGACCAGTAATCGTATTTCTTTGAATACAAGGTTTCATACATTGCTGAACCGTAGCGTATCCGAGGATGAATTGCTCTTGGGACTTTTGAGCAGATGGTTCTCAAGGTGGGACCTGAACTGGTAGGACCGACTGTCGCGGTTGCTGTAGCTGATCAGGTAGAGGACGGAGATGAACAGTACGTAGCAGAACAGTTCCAGGAACACCATCTTGGCCTTCAGCTCCTTCTGTCGCTGTTCCTTCATTTTCTCCACACACTCCCGCCCGAGCTGTGATGTTGGATATTCCACTTTCACACTGCCTGTTGATGAAAGATTATCACAATTTTAAAACAAGATTCCAGGTATATACTACATGTAGCTATACCACAAACAGAACATAATATTTGGGTCAAAATTTCAACAACTTTCTAAGTTTCATTATCTTTGCTACTCCAGAGTTCATGCTCACCTGCACTTCCTGCAGAGAGGGCAAGACAGCGTAACCCCTGAATAGCAAGGATGGAGTTTGATTCAAGACCTTGCAAGGCCCAGCAGTCCTGATACTTAATAACATGAGTGAAAGCCTCAATAACCAGCTTTTTCCTTTCCGAGGCCAGATTGATGAGACAGCTGGATAACTAGGACAATTTTGTGTATTAGACTAATTTTGTCCTCTAAAGTACTGAATCTGCATATGTGGTATAAACGATAAAACCTATGTCTTCAAAGCAAATCACATGGAGATGAAACAAAAACAATGACATTGAGCAACCTTCAACAACCTAGAGTTCCAAACGATCAACATACAGCTTTCTGAAAATTCAAGTGGCAATACTCTCGGTGCCCTTTTTGGAAAGAGTGCCGAAAGAATTAACAGCGGGACACAGTTGGAGACTGATAAGACATGTTTTATCCATGAAATTTTCAAGTAATGCATCTTAAGTGCTAAACATTTCAAGATGACTGTACAAATAGTGATGTATACAGTGAAAACTACCAAAACCAAACAACATCATGACTGATTAATGTTAGGAATAGGCAGGGGAAACTTCAGGTACACTAGTTGTCCAACAAAATTGAAGCAATTCTGTGAGCCTGATCATGATCGAAGATCTGATTTAGGTGTGCATGGTTTATATATTATTCAGTGTTCAATTATAAAAGGTTACATGTGTGAACATAGTTGGACCTACTTGTATTATCCTTGGGAACTGCGGCACGCTTTTTGGCTTCCTCCAAAACGTTCTGGATGTCTAGCTCCGCTTTGCTGTTCACAGATTGTTTTCGGAAGAAATAGGATATGAGGAAAGCAACGGTAATAACCTGCAAGGAAACAAAAATTTGATAATAAGCTTTATTTTTCTAAAAAAAATATTAAACCATCACGGGTAACAGAAATAAACCACACAAGAAGGATAATTGACCTATGACATCACTTTGCTATGATAAAATGTTTTGCTTAAATTTAAAGGAATGTAAAATTTTATCTCCAACACCTTTAACCTACATCAATGAACACTTAAGGTCAACTCTTAACACTATTTCAACAATTTTATAACACCCTGTTTGGCATTTAGTATATAATTGTTGTTTACCTTGATGGGATCAGTGATTAAGATGGATTCTACAAACGACAATAGGAAACACAGCAGCCATTCCTCCGATTTGGTTTCCCCCCATTCCATACTGTACAACATTACAAAGAAACCAGACATCAGCACCGAGCAGACGGCCAAACCCCAGGCCACATACACACACCAGTAAGGCAGCATGAAGACCTTCTCATCGCCGATGCTTTTACGTCGAGAATATTCGTCAACTTGAGCGATGTCAGGTAAGTTCGCAAACTTCGTAATAGTTTTTTTGTCCATTTCTTCAATAATTGATTTTTTCTTCGATTTCTGAAACAATATCGATATCAGAAATACAGGTATAGCACTGATGACTATGCTCATAAAAGAAATGTACAGACTTGTCAATGAAAATTTTAACGGTCCGAAGGCGACTTGATTCTGCCCGCTGTCAGTTTTGTAGAACATGGCGCTGGCAATCATAGCCAAGAAAAGCAAGGCTAAGCAGCAGGAGAGACGCTGTACTCGGGTGAAGTTGCTGTCCTCTGGACGGATGAAGATCGAGAGCCACAGGTGACCATCAGTTGTGGAATGTCTAGAGTTGTCCCTGTGGAACAGAAAGTCACCAACTTAATGAGTACACCATAATAGTGTCATATGCTAATATATTACCTCATGTTAACAGGAAATTTCCCTTTAGCTCATTTGGCAGAGCCGCACGCTGGTAAGCTCAGGGTCACCAGTTTGATTCCAAGTGGAAGCACACTACTTTCTTCCTGTTACAGATCAATTGTTCAGAGAAATCTAACATAAATACTGAGAAAATCTAACAGGCTCAGTTTTTGATTTCTTCTCTAAACAATCATTCTGAAACTTGAACATACCTAAAGTGATACCCGAATGAGTCGAGGTCTTCTTTGTCAGATACTGGCAGTGCACACTGTGTCGATCCATCCTCTTCATCTAGAGACAGCCATCGGTTACAAACAAAAGTAAACCTGAAACATAGACAATTACATGTATTCTACAATACTGGACAATGATATATACATAGCAAGAGGCCCATAAAACCTGTATCACTTGCTCGATTTCTTATTTGAACTATACAGTCAGCCCCAAGGGAAACTACACACTTGCTGTACGTAACAGTTGATTTCCAGGTCCTGAGGACCATTGAGGATGCTTCATAGTTGATTTGGTTGAAATCTGTTTTTGCTTTGTATCTGTACATGTGAGTATATGGCTATAGGTAGGTATCTCAAATATTTCCATCTTATGACCCTAGGCCTAAGTCCTCGGGGGTAGGGCCAGACCCCTGAGTCAATCCTTATAACATGATTGTGTTACATGCCAGCAAGCGGTTATATGGTTGAATAGAAGGAATCTCAACTGTGTCCAAGTTCTGACCTAAGATCTATGTCCTGAGGACCCTGATGGCAATCATGATAACATGAGTGTATTTGCCTCTCATGCCGAGCGATCGTGTATGGACATGGATTGGGGAACCAAACCATTTCCATGTGATGAATCAAAAACCAAGTCCCCAGGGAATGACAAAGCCTATGTAGGCCAATCTTGAGGCATAGTGAAGTCCTACCTTGATGCCTAACCAATTAAAATTGAAATTATTTGATTTTGTTGAGCTTTATAGCTCATCTGTGTATAAATCACACACCTTACATAGACATCATCTGCAGGACACTGTTTAGTGTGGGGGTCTTAACCATTTCCATGGTATGACTCTTCGGTTCCCAGGGACTGTATCAATAATCTTCCCGCACTATTTTCAAAGTTTCGATTTAAATTGATAGCCTTGAACTTTCCAAATTTCGAAGGAGCATATAAAAAGAGCATGTGTATTCATGAAAAATATCAAATACGAACAGGCAGTGCAGTGATAGTTAGTACAACTCTAGTACAATACACAAGAATGAAAAAGGCATGTGTCAGAAAAATATACCAGTTAAAATACCTTTCCATTGACTGCAGATCCATGATCTCGACTTTGCTGAGGAGCCAGGAGGCAGCATTGCCTTTTCCACTATTATCATGCCAGATGTCCAGACAAATGAGGCTGCCCAGTCGTTTCGGCATACACATGACAAACTTCCGCACACTTCCAGTACCAAATCCCTGAAACCATTTTTTT